ATATGTACATATGCATATATGTATATGTATATATATATATACATACATATATACAGATGTACATATACGTGTACATATACATGTACATATTTGTGTGTAGACAAAAACATGCATCCTAACCCCCCTTCCCGCCTGGCTCACGCTCTACTGTATCATATGCACGTTGAGCTGCTTCCACGAGTCGCTACATGCATGTTTTCTGGAAGCAGTACCCTCAAGCTCCAGATGCCTAAATAATGGCTGGCTGTTACACGGTGTAGCAGAACTCAGGCTCGTAACCCGAAAACCCTCGATCCTGAACTTACACACTGAAGGTCTGAACTAAATGTCTCGTTCCAAAATCCAAACCCGACATCTCTGGCTTTGGCTAGCGGGGTGTGGTAGGCTTCCAAGTGTCGTAGCTGACGCTGATGGACTGGATCTTGCCCCTCGGCAGCAGAGTGCCAGTAGCAGTAGCGTACTTAAGGTTTCAGGGTTTATGGTTCCGATTTGTTGAAATTTGGAGTTGAGGCTTCGTTTCTGAGTTGCTGGAAGACGAGGGCATCGAGGCTCGGGGTGTTGGGATCCAGGCTTTGAAGGTACAAACCCAACCTATGCATTCTCCGAGAACAGCGCTGTCGTGGCGTAAAGCTGCCGTCATCGCATAGAGTGCATTACGTTTGTGCTCACGGGACGTTCGCGAGTATGTGATCGAAGCACTGATGGCTCAGCTTTCATTGTTGCCCGACACGATTCAAACTATCACCGCCTGTATCTGTGCGTTACCCTTGGGTTCCAGCTAGCTAAATAGTAGGATTTACTTATACGATCCTTTTCTGTAGCCATGATTCAGGTAGCTGGAGCCATGGGGTTACGTTCCTAGTAGTTTCATCCATTGTTTGAACTTCAAAGAATATGGTAGAAAACCCCAAACGCTAAGACCTAATAATAAGTTGCCAAGCTACGACATCACAGCCTCCTGGAGCAACTCTGTTGCCTCTTCGTCGTTGCGGGCCCCCTGGTCGCAGAAAAAGAACCCTGAAACGAGACCTCAAAAGAATCCTTAGCACTTCCAACACGACGCAGCTGGCGTCAAGCGATGTCAGCCAAAATCCGTCTATTCAATATAAGCGCCATTGGCTGTTGGGGATGTATTAGTACGGGGAAAACAAGGAGCCACAAGGGGATAGCACTGCCAATACTTGCGCCCCCTATGGTCACTTCATTTGAGTACCCAGACCCCAATCGATCCCAGAACTGTGAGCGGATGCAACTCGAAAGCTCCTCGTAAAACCCTATCCCCGAAATGCCTCTACGAACCCAAGGAAAGGCCCCTTGAACGCGACATGTCCTCAGGCTGCCTGAACTCCCCTAACACGAACCGCGACTCCCAGCGAAGCTTTCGCCCAAAAAGCCTTCAAGAGCATCATAGGTACTAACAAGCAGGGCTGCAGCTCAGTTGGAAATAACATGTACCTCCCACAAAGGCCTCGCAAGAACCAAGCCAAGCCGAGAAGGACCATGCTACTAGTAATAATCAAGAGCCCCTCAGCTCTGAAGTTGTTAAGCACTTGGCCTTATCATGGCTTGAGGATCATGATGCTCCTAACTTTCCAAACTTGCTCCCAGCTACCGTGGAGACCAACACGCCTCGATGGCTTTCATGAGTCGACTCTTCAGATCACGAAGATTGCCGAACAGCGCCTGGTGTTAGCTTCTGGCTTTTCTTGGCTTGGGGTGCTTGGGATAAGGAGTTTCTGGTTCAAGGGGATAGGGTTTGTTTTTTTTAGTTTTCGGCTGCTTGGCTTTGCAGAACAAGATTCCAGTTTTTGGTGCTCGGATGAACTCAGGTCGAAGTTCCAAGCCTTTCGGGGGAAAAGCCTGTGGTTGCAGGATACTGTGGTTGTAAGACCCACTAGACACGTATGATGTGGCAGAAACTGGTTCTCTAATTTGTTCTTCTGGCAAGTGAAACACCAACACCCTGCCCATGCAACTCTTGTATAACCCCGCTCTTCTTGTGGGTTCAGGCTTTAGGACTTTAGGGTTAACCCCTGCTCTCAGACAAATACCCATTACTTGGGACTGTTTTGAGGGTCCCGGAGCCCTTTATAAGACCCTATAAACCCAAAACTCCAAGAACAAAAACCAAAACCCGAAGACCCCAGGAGTGCCGGGGAGGAGCTCCAATCTGGATTTCCAGTGTGTACCGCGCTTCTGCAGAGGCGACGGTCCTCCAGCGTCTGGTTCGAACCCCAGGCCCTAAACCCTAGGGCTCCAGTCACCCCTAAGTTCAGGGTTTAGGGTTTAGGGTTAAACCCTATAGGGCTCCAGTCACCCCATAGTTTAAGGTTTTGGGTTCATAATAGGGCTTAAGGGACCTATGTACTGATACGCGGGATACTTGCTTAAATCATAATCGTACCTCCTACGATAGAAACCCTACATTTCACTATATAGGTACATAGGACCCTTTGGGAACCTAAATAGTAGGTTACTAATCATATGTTTCTACCCGAGTAACCTACTGATTACCGAGGCAAATGGAGCCCTAGGGAATCCGAATCCGTTTTCTTTCAGGGTCCTGCGTGTAGGGGTTGTACCCATTTACGTTGTACTGTAAGCCCAAACAACCTGATCTTTTCCAAGGTGCATAGACTAGATAAAGTGTTTCTAGACTTGCTTGATATGCCCAAAGACCCCAAATTCTCCGCCTAAAACATGTCGAGCGTACTAAAGGGAATTCTACACAGGCTGGATGATGTAAGCGAAAACGGGACGGTCTTGAGTGCCCGGGGTTGCGACTGGACCAGCATATGTTAGCTAGAGCTGTTGAAGGTTCACTGCTTCGATCCTAGACTACGTAGCGTCTTGCTTGCGAGACCTTGAATTTAAACAATTCAGGCTCAGGGTCATGGTTCTTGTGGAGAACGTTTTCTGGGTAGACAATAGAGCCCTCATGAATCCTTAAGCCTTACGTAACATAAAGCCCTCTGCAAGTCCTTTTGCCAAAAAAAGTTCCTACACTCCCCTAAACCATGGCTGATGAAACCCAGGGCTCCTGATCTGGCGGAGCTCGGCGGGGCCGAAGCGCTCGATGTAGTCCTCCGGAGAGGCATCCCTACCAGAACCTCGTATTGGGGGTGTAGATTAAGAAGGTACAAACAAGTAGGTTATGGTAGTTTAATCGCTTCCCCCCATGTTAGACATCCTCCCCCAGCCCCCCCAACTAATATAAAAGCTGACGTCCGGTGGTTTGGTTTTTATATTAGGGGGGGTTCGGCGCATCCGGGTATGAGTCGGATTGCCGGGAATAGTGAGACAGACACAAAGACCGTCCATCAGGCAGCCGTTATCCTAAGCCTGTAGCCTCCATACTTATGTTCAACTAAGCCCTGATTAAGCCTTGAAGCCCTAAATACTATACCCTAAAGCCCCAAGCCCTAAACCTTGAGCCCTAAAGCCCTACATAAGCCCTAAACCTGAAGCCCCAAGCCCTAAGCCCGTAAACCCTGAAGCTCTGGTCCCTACGGTTTGGTTGGTACTGCTGTAATCTTGGATCTATGACAACCAATACAATCCTAGTCCTAGGCCCCCCTAATGCTTTTAATTATATACCTTTGAATTGAGGGCCCGAAACCACAAAATCCCGAACCGGGAGGATTTTATATTGGGGGGTTTAATGTTAGGGGAAGCGATTAAGGTAGACATGCCAACATGACGATGCATATCTTTATGCATATCGTACGTCAAGCGATGCAGTATCATATCCGAACCAATTGTGACGATGTTTGTTCTTCAAACGTCATCACGCTCATAGTCCTACATTATTATAATGTGTACATATACATGCATATATATATATAAATGCTGTATACATATAACATATATATATGTAGTATACATATTCTGTGCCGGCTCCCTCCTCCCTCCCTTGCTCGGTATCTCATTGCGCGACATCGCGAAGTCAAGGCGAAGTCGGTAGAAGCTACGAAAGGAACGATGAGGACTCGCGGTCGGGGGGAAGGGGGGGTTGGGAGCCCAACCGGAAGCACGACTATACTCTCGCTTTGCCCGCGCCTTCAAGGAGACATCCGATTGCGTCTCGCTCTGCCTTGGATAGTCTTATCATCAGCGCCACGGCAGAGTTTCAGAATTCGAGGCCTTCAGCAATTTCAAGCCGTGGGATGGTGATTTCTGGTGCTTCCCCGCAGGACCTCTGGGCAGGGACCACCAGCTAAAGCGCGGGGTGCAGGTTAGGTTAGTGGATGGTTAGGCATCAGAAAATACACGACCCTTGTGTAGACCCTAGATAGCCGTTATCAGGAGCCCTAATTCCTAATCCCTCAACCTAGGCACCCGTAAGTCGCTAGAACCCAAAACAGATTTCTAAAGCCCGTAACAGACTTCATGAGGCCCGATGACACCCACTGGAGCTCCATCCACCTCGGAACGGGCCGCCGGTGCTTCTTGCGGCCTGAAGGGCATGGCGCGGCTAGTGTCACTACTCAGACGAATGCATTGTCTGGCGCAACAGCAGCCACAACAACAAGAGCTGCTGCTACCTTTCCTTTTGCAGTACATTGAGATTCGTGCTGCAGGGAGGTTCGCAATGACCCCGTTACAATAGCTTCGACGCAGGACATCCATGAAAAGAGACTTACACATATCTTCTTCGCCCTTGCACATGCCGTGCAAACTGTCATGCGATCCCTCCCAGCCTTCATGCTGGCTCACTTCCGGGGGAACATCTTTGGATCCCAAGGACCTGGCACCAAAGCCAAATTGCGCTCTCACATATTATTATTATTTTTATTTTTATTATTATTTAAGGTCTTGCAGTGAGCTTTGCGGCGACGAAAAGCGAGTGATCGGCAATCGAACCACAGAGAACTTGCAAGGACTTTGCAAGGGGCATATATGAGCAAACTAACATCGCATCCACAAACTAACATCGCGCATTTGTTACATGTGCGAGAACTGGACCTTGTCCCTCAGATCAAACAAACCGCGGCCCTAAACCCCAATCCTTGTGAAATCGGCGCAGCGTAACCAACCAGTCTCTAAAGTGATCCAGGACGTAGAACTAATCACATCCGGAAAAACTTAGTGTCGACAAGAGTTCCATACGCGCAAATTGCTGTCATGACACATGTGTTTTCGATCAAAGGCACACCAGCTTGTCGAGCTGATAGCGAATGTCGGCTTGCCGCAAGAAGTAGCCGAACAATGCAGACATGGCCTTGGCTTTATATAGCGAGCGAGGAAAACCCTGTCTGATTTAGGGTCATTACTACAAAGCCCATGCCCAATTTTCCCCCCAATACATCGCCATGAAACAGAAGGCTCACGAAGATAAAGTGGTTCCCATAACACACTCACAAGAAATCCTTCCTCCCCTCCGAGAACTTCTTCGATTTAAGGCCGCTTGCTCTCAGGCATTAGAACGAGTTTCCTGTTGGCGTCTTTACCATCGGGGCAATTTCCCCCTGACACTAACAATGGGACTACTCCGAACAATGTGCCCCCTGGAATATAGGTTTGGCGGCTGGTTAGCTTGTACTAGGTATTCGCGTCATCATTCGTCGCACCTTGATCTGCCCAATCCAAACAATGGAGCAGCCAACTTAACACATTATGGCGTGGTCGAAGAAAACGAGGTCCAACATCCATAACACGGCCACCAAGCAATCTAGAACCAACAACCTCAACAATCCCCGCCCTCAGGTCCCACACCAAGCCCTGAATCAGGTAGGGGGCATTGCAAGGCCCACGATTGCTTGAAATCCCAATCACAGAATCAAATCTTCTGACAACCCCAACTCTGAACTCAAGTCACCCTACGCTCCCTCAGGACCCCTATATTAGGAACAAGACAGCCGGGAGGCATACACTTGGCTTGCCTGGTAGAGCGAGATTCGCAGCGCCGGAGCATTTGCGCCCCGATCGGGAGCCTTTCAAGGGAGCTTTGCGGCTCTGGGGTCTTGTGTCGGGGCTTTGGGTGGGTGGGGGGACTCATAGTAACAACGATCTAAGGATTTAGATTAAAGGTTTTGTTCTTTATTGGGGAATTAGATTTGTCCCTCTCGCATGGCTGAGAACTACGCCAGCTACGCATTGGGGCTTTAGATTATTATATAATCGGCTTCTATACTTTCTGCACTGCCATTGGGCATGGTATGTGGGTAGCTTGTTGTCCCAAAGCCTTCCATCATGCCTGAAAGGAAGAGCCCCCAAGGCCAAGGCCCAGGGTGCTTGTAGGGTTTAGGGTGGAGGGTTTGAGCTTCCTTTGAGGTGACGTCAGCTCTTGAATGCAATCCTCCAGTTTTGGACTGTATGTAGGACAGTCTAGGATGCCGTCTGCTTTTTTCTTGCTTTTTTGTTGGTCGTCTGGTTTAGTCTTATTAGGGTTTCGGCTAACGGCGAACCTGCTATGCTGAATTTCCAGGAGCAGGGCTTCAACTTGATTACACCGAAAACATCGCACGGCCGGTTGCTGCGGTGTGATTCCGACAAACCTGGCATCCCAAACGAGGTTCTATGCCTGCACGTCGATGATGTTGAAGAGGTGATCTCGCACCATTTCCAGCCTGGGTTTAGGCCCGTTTAGGGCGCAGGCATCTCTAGCAACTCGTCACCATCACCATCACGATCATCATCATCATCGTCATCTTCATTAGCAGCAACAACATCGCCGAAACCACTTCGCCTTCATCATGCTCATCATCTTCACTATCATCATCAGCAATGCTGGTGGACTCGTCTCGAATCAGTGGCATCTTGATGCAAACGATGGCACACTGATGATGTTGATACCGGAAATGCTGACTTGTGTTCTTGCCTGCTACCTGCAATGAAACAAGCGTCGCCCAAAATCAACCCCATCCAGGAGCCTTGTCGTCACTCGCAAGTCCCACATGCATGCTGTCTTGCAATTCCAGAACTTGACCCCACTGCAACCGAGGCGAGCATCGCTTCCATGGAGTAGATCTCCGTCAAGCCCTTCAGCTGCTCTCCGCTCATGTCAAGCCTGCTTGGCCAAAGCCATGTCGTACGGCTTTAGGGGTGCAAAGCCCTAAGTCACAGCTGTTTATCCAAACCCTTCAATCCGCTCGTAGGGTTCATTCGATAGGACTTCAAGCCTCGGCAGCTCTGAGGACCATATCATGAAGCGCCCACTTGTTGAAGATAAAGATAGATGAGGCGCTGAGCGTTTTGAAGTTCATCTTCTTGGGTGGCCAAGCCCTCAAGCCTCAAAGATCTTGAAGGTGTTACCACAGGGGCTGTGAAACAATTTCTACAAAAAGAACCCCATCAAAAAAGAATCCCATAGGGGAGATCAAATATTCGGTCCTGCATGTGTATACATATATATATATATAAATTACACCCAATACGAAAACCTTATAAGATATTATGTGAAACACCTATCTGGAACTCCAAGGAGCTTGACCATGCCACCGCCGATCAGTGGAGGCATCAGCGGCACCTGCGAGATGTTCGACAGTTTGGTGCCTGGTTGGCAGCTAAAGAGGATTTTGGGTTTAGGTGTTGGAGGCCGAAAGGTTGAGGGCTTTTGGCCTTAATTGTGGGTTTGAGGGTGCGGGGCCACCCCCAAGACGAAACCGCTATTCAGGGAAGTGGAGACAACCGCCGCCACCTCAAGGTACTTGAACATGCTGGCCACCATCAGGTATAACCTGGGTTAAGAGGGTGTTGGGGCTTAGAGCTCTACTTGGGGCTTGGTCTGTGGTGTTTGGGGCTTTCGGGTTTAAGATTCAGAGGTGAAGCTTTCGATTTTTTGCCACCTTCTAAGGCGTCTTTGGAGCTCTAGCGGACAAGAGGCGTGCAAGCACCACTTCTACCCTCGAATTATTTATACCCTGGATATCTATATAGGGCTCACATACCCCTATTTCAATTAACAGGGAGGGCCCTGGAATTCTGCAGACGTTTGAGCTTCAGAGACAAGGCGCACATGAACGCTTGCACGGAAGGCCCCCCCAGATCCCCTGAAGCCCTCGCAGCAAACACCCTGTTCAAGGTCACAGCCGAGCCGGGAGGGTCGAAGCTCTAAGGTTTGATGTCAAGGGTTCTGGGAGATTCAAACTTAGAAAAGCGGGTTCTGGGTTAAGAGTTCACATAGAAGCCTCAACCCAATTTAGGAAACCCGATGTGTAAAAATGCCGTGTATGAATGGTCTGATCCTCGCTACATTCCAAATGCAGCGCAGCCACAGTTCCGCTGCAGTTCGGAACCTATCAGAGACTTCCAATCACAAACTCGCTCGATCCAGCAGCTTTAGCGACTTCACTGAATTCACATGTAAGCGCTACTTCAGATAAGGGCAAATGGGTCGCATACATAGACGGACGTACCGGAAGACGAGATGAGGGAAAGAACACCCTTGGAGCCTTTCTGCACTCAGTGGGTCTCGGAAAGGATCAACTGCCCACCTCAAGCCCTGCGCCAACGCAAGCTTACCCGCAGGCTCCCCGTTCAGACATCCACATTAATTCCAATTAGCTTGCGCGCGGAGTACCTACGCAAAAGGCGTCTATACATCACAAGGAGTCCCCCCAAACAAACGTGGCCCTAAACCCTAGGCCCTAAACCGCATTACTAAACCAAATAAGTACCCTAAACCATTGGAGTAAGCCCTTCAACCCCAGGAGCAAAGCACGCCAAGTTGCAGCTCCTGTCGCTTCACCTGCAAAATGCGCCTGCCTTCGCTGCTGTGCACTTTTGGGAAGCTCGCAGCACCATTGAGGGGCTTGTATAGGGTTTCTAGTATACATGTTAGGGCTTATAGTATGTTCGGCTTACATATATATATATAGAGAGAGATTTAGATAGATAGATAGGTAGGTAAATAGATAGATAGATAGATAGGGCTTACGGTTTCAGCAACGAAGACCACAACACTGCCGTAAAGTTAGCCATGGCACGCAAAGATGCAAGGCCAAACGCCTCGCTAAGCGCCCCAGGCCTCACCAAAAGCTGAAAGAACGGAGACCCAAGGAAACGATGGTACTCAGGGATTGCAGTCTACGATTGCATTGGGGATCTACGGTTTTCGGGTTTAGGGAGTACGGTTCTTACTGGTGTGTTGTTTGCTGTTTTTGGAGGGGAGGTTCGGGTTTATAGGTTTGGGGGGGCCTGGGGGATTGTGCACTAGAACCTTGTAACCGCATGCCTTTTTTGGAAGACGGGTGGATGCCTGGCATGTAGTCTGGTCTAGGCTCTTTGGGCTCTAGAGTGGTCGTCTCGGTACCCCAAACACAAGGTGCTTCCATCAAAAAGGGCAGAACGGAAGGAGAACGCCCAAAGCTCAGCCAAAAACCTACATGCAATCCCCGAAGCCTCAATCAGCAGTCTAAAACATACTCAGAAGCATCCGGTGTCGGCGCTGGGCTTAGTGGGGCTTCAATACGGTATATTAGTATGTATGCATGTATGTAGGTATATATACATAAGGAGGATCTTCAACCAGCAGCGGAAAGAATTCCTTCCTACCAAGCTGGATTAGCAACACAAACCCCATCTCAAAGCCTTTGGCACAAATGCAAAGCCTTGACTCGACGCACTCTCATCGAGGTGATCACCGAAGTGGTGTTCTACAATTCAGAACATTGGGTCATGTGGTAACCGGTAAGGTCCGACGAGTCGTTGGCTCCAGCACTTTGGGAGTTCTGAACACACCAATCGAAGCCCAACCTCAACTATCTTATGATGCCGAAACCTGCTCCTTCAGCATCTTTTCCTGAGGCACGTACGGGCTCACGCGGGTGGTGTCCTCGGCAAGAGGTTAAGTTTCACGCATGAGCACACGATGCACTGCGGCGAGGAAGGGAGGGCGAAAGCAACGATCATGTAAGCTTCCTCTGATGGCCACGTGTGATTGCAAGAAATTGCTTTACATAGAGGGCCAGGGATGCAACAACAATGAGATATAGTAAACCCGTATCTATAAGCGATATACCTGCAGCTACGGCACGTGTGACCCCAAACTACACAGTAAGTCCGCTGAGCCCTTCTTGCAGGCATTCCGTCTTCGCCACGCACAAGGCCTCATGGACCTTTTCTACCAGGATTCTACCAAAGCCATGTCCACGAACTGCGGTGATTTCCAAAGCTTCTTGTGAAGCAACCAAGTCAAACTCTAATGGCACAGCTCACCTTGTCGACACTATTCGGCACCTCCAGAAAGCAGAAGAAGTCATGGGAGCAGCTCGCCGTTGACGAGAGCATTACTGCCCACGTGCGCATGCCTCTGCAATGACTTAAATATGGATGCCGCCCAGCTTCTGATTGCTCTTGCTGTTGTTTCAGAGCGGCCAGTATTCGGAACTCCTCCTTGACCTCAGATGCCCCTTCGGGAGGACTTCTTCGGAGTGAGACTGCCTGCTGTCTGGCGACTCTCTACTTCACTGTTTGCCATACTTTCAGGGATCAGGATTTGGGGTCTACGTCATCACTTGTCCGCATTTCACATATATAAGGACCCAATTGACCTTAAAAACAGTCAGAAGTTGCTGACAAATCTCTTATGTGACCACAGGCTGCCCCTAAGCTCACCACTGTGTCGTCGAAGAGGACCAGCAGGGGATCATACTGCAGGTTCTTCCTTTCACAACCAACAGCCGATGCCCCTCTGACTTACTATTGGAAGGGAACACTACATCATCTTTCAGTTGAAAGTTCATGTCTTCTACAGGGCTCTGTAAGGATGGATTCTAGGCCCCTAGGCGTGTTCTTGATAGCCGCAGCGGGTGTGGCGACGGCTCAATTATTCGGAGAATACATAGAGACGGCGGTGATGGACGGCTCGAGGGCTGCACAATCGGAATGCCGCTAGCTTCACTGCTACCTGGCTCCGACCGGTCCTACGGGTTCCGGAGGTACGGAGTTTAATTTTATGAGTTAGATCTCCGTATTACATTGTCTCTTTTTTCTCGGAATTCAAGGTTTTCGTGTGTCACAGGCCTGTTGCCTGTCAAAAGAAGGCTTGGAATATATCGCAATGCAGCGAGTGGAGAAAGGTGGAAGAAAGCTGCTCTTGCAAAGGCTGCCGCCGAGGCAAATGACATCTGCCCAATGGTGGACCCTTACAAACCTGAACCTTGAACCCCAAAGAAGTAAACTTGCATAAGCCCTAGTGAAACTGCAAACCCCTGCTCTTGTAAACCCAGCTGTAAATCCCTATGCAAAGCCCGCTTGACCTCCCCGAACCTCCCGCAAAAAAACATAAGCATAGCTGAAGCCATATCTATCTTTTAAACCCCAAACCTAACACCCATCCATAAACCCCGTAACACCCCAGCACACCCCCAAAACACACAAAACGCTCTATTCCCAGAGAGCTACAGAACCCTTCTAGAGCCCCTGTAAAGCCACATAAGCACACCATGACATCACCCCACTTACCCACCAACAGAAGCCCACTACAAACCAGACAAATAGAAAGAACAACTATAAACTAAGAATCCACTACAAAGCAAACAAACAGAAAGAACCACTAAGCTAAACTAAGAAAAGAAGTCGCGGTCGCGCGGCAAAGCGCGCTTCGCCGCCGAGGATTTCAGCTTCGCTGGCCCGGGGCTCCAGAGCTTCACTGCCTCGTCGCCTGAAGAATTTTAAGGGTTTACGGGTTTTTAAAGTTCAGAAAGGGGTTTAGAGTTTTGGGGCTTAGGGTTTACGGGTTTAGGGTCAAGGATTTAGGGTTTAGGGCTTTTAGGGGTTAGGGGTTTAGGGATTGCGGCGCTGATTAGGGAGCTTCGGGAATCCGGGAAACTAGGCATCCTGATTCAAACAGACCGTACGAGCCCGTTTTGACAAGACCCCTCACAAACCGCCCTAATTTCAAGAAGCCGCCGTCTAGCAGCTCTAGAGAAACAGTATGCTAAACCCTAAACCCTTTGTGCATCCGGGCCTATGGCGACTGCCGGGTACTTCGAAGAAGGATACTGACAGCCAGGCCCCAAGCCCTAGACCCTAAATCCTAAACCTCCTAAACCCTAAACCCTAACCAACAAACCCTAAATCCCAAACGTCCTAAACCCTAAACCCTAAATAACAAGCCCAAAACCCTAAGCCTCCTAAACCCTAAACCCTAAATGACAAGTCCAAAACCCTAAGCCCCTAAACCCTAAATCCTGAAGCCTAGCCCTCCTCTGGCTTTCTTGGGGGGGATCAGGGTTCAAGGCAAATCGGCTTTCGGTGGGGCAAGGCCGTGGGTTTCGGGTAATCTAGGGTTTAGGGTTTAAGGTAATATAGGGTTTGGGGTTTAGTGCTCTCCGAGATGTGCAGAATTGCAGCCCCTGGACTGAAACTTCAACCCCCAAACCCATCTACAACCCCCTAGATCCTAAAGGGCATCCCAGAAATATAGACTTCGACTGAGTATGATGAGCCTCCTCCTGCAGCTTGTAACTGGGCTTCGCTTCCTCCAGTCCA